AAATCTTTACTCGAATCTAAAATTTGCATAAGTTAATATTAGCATCTTTTAATATTTGTAAATGCTGTAATATCGATAATTTTCAACAGTTTCTAGATAAATTACTGCTTTTGCAAATATTCAAACGAATTAAAATATTCGACGGCGAAATGTGGTCATTCAGTTTAAATATTTGTCCGATATGTTTGAATTAATTGCTAGTAACATTAGGTTAAACATTTTATTAATATTACAGTCGATTAGCTCTACATAAAAGTCGTATGATTTAGTTAAATAATGATGACATTGAATATTAACGAAAAAGAAAAAACTCAAGAGACTATTTTTATTGTTTTGAAAAAAAAGAAATGAAACAAATGTATTTGGATGAGAAATTTTTCTTACTTTTAATCAAATTCCTCCATGCGATTTCCGTTTATACAAAATTCTTACCCAAAACTTCTCTTTGGAACATTCGGTCTCGATCGAATTTTTTAGGTTTTTCAAAAAAAAATGTATCCTTGAATAAATAGGAAATTTAAAAAATTATACTGAAATTTTACCAATCGAAGGAATCGAAAAGTGATCAAGACGCGGGCCCTGTGGCCTAATGGATAAGGCGTCGGACTTCGGATCCGAAGATTGCAGGTTCAAGTCCTGCCAGGGTCGCTGCTATCCAATTGATTGTGAGAAAGTGGTCATTTTTCACTTTCATATCAAATTGAAATCCGTGTTTAAAGTGTTAAAAAGATATTTAATAGAAAGGCTCTTTTTGATCAATTTCGTTTCAGTTTTTAAGAATTTTTCTTTTTCCTTTTGCTGGATTTCATAGTTGTTTGTTTTATACTTTATTTACTCTCTTTTTGATTTAATTTTTCTTCCTTTCTCATTGGATGTCAGCATATTATTTCAAATTTGAATTTAGCAAAAATACCAAGTCATATTGTTGATTTTTTTTGTTTGGCTGGATAGAAAGGAAAAAAATAACATGGATTTATTTGTAATGGGAATGGATAGATGGATAGATTGATAACTACTCATAACTTTATAGCACAATTTAATCTTTGCTGTATTGTGTGATTTCATTGGAAACTCTTATTTTTGTTCGTATGAAAAGGTATCTAAAGTTTTCAAGAAATTTTAATTTCGTCGAAATTTTAATTGTATCACGAAATTTTAATTATGTCAGGGCACTAAATTTTGTTGAAATAAATTGTATATTTTATATTGATAATTTCTATGCATAAATTCTGTAACTCGAATCTGCTTCGTGGAGAGAAATTTAGCTTTCGTGAAAATGATGTGGTAGTTGGCTTCAATAATTAGGAGGACAAAAGCAATAATTACGGTCTTCGTAGCCTATCTCGAATCATCAGGTCAACAAGCATTAAGCAGTCTCCATAGCTTGGCTTACCAAGAGCTGTTGGTTCGATGTCTGCTTTCATGAACCACTCGTCTCATCTTAATTCAAAAAAAAAAGAAAATCGCGATAAATTAGGATAAAAATAATATATCTGTTTGAAGCATAATCTATGGAATTAATTATTAATTATCAAGAAATGCAGTTCATCAGTATTATGTCTAAATAAAGTAATCAAATTTGAAATGTATCTTATCTGTTTACTTAGTAATCTCTGAAATTTTTAAAAAGATAAAATGGACCGGATAAAAATCTAGATGCACTAATATTTTTTGTTATTTTGTAAACAAAAAAAGAAATTGGTTAATGTTAATGAAATACTAATTCTAATTCTAATTTTAAATGGAAAAAACACCATCTATATGACATCTAAATATAAATATTTGAATTACTTTAAAATTTATAATATTTAATTGGTTCCCATTTCTTACATGTTTCACTAAACTTTTCTCGATAATCCATTGGCATGAAGACAAATTGGTCCAAAGTATTATTATTTTAAATAATTGGAATTCGTAATGAGTAAACTAAACAAATGAATGCGAAACAAAATCAAATGTTTTCAGCTTTTTTTTTCTTTTGCTTCAAATGACAGTTAACATTAATCATTGATTATTTGATTGAAGGTAGTTAAAATTATTCGGTAAATAGGTCATGTGAGGAACAAAGATTAATTAAATGATAATTATCGATCGATTATGTGATTGAATGAAGTTAAAATTGTTCGATAAACAGGGCATATGGAAAGGATCGAAGACTAATTAAATGATAAATAATCAGTTAATGAATGATAGTTGACAAATTTGTACAGCTCAAAGTGGTAATTTCAACAAAAAGTAGATGGATGATGAAAAAACCGGTGACATTGGGTTTCGGGGTATGCTTGTCAAAGCTTTTATCAGTGTACTTTATGCTCCTATGGTTGACATTGATGTTGTCTTCCATCTTTCTCGATTGCTATCAGCATCGGTAGATTGAAGCTTGCAGAACTTCCCATTTGCTCAATTTGTCACTTATGTCTGTTTATATGTGAATGTGTATGTGTGTGTGTGTGTATGTGTATACATGTATGTGTGTGTATGTATATGTGCGTATGTGAATGCATATATGTATGTATGTGTGTTGCCTTCCATCTGCATGTGTGTGTGTCGTATGTATATGTGTATATGTGTATGTGCGTTATGTGTTTGTATGTATATGTATGTGTACGTATTGAAATTTCCAAATTTTTATTGATAAATTATTTTAGGGAAAAAGTTTTTGCCAATATTACAAGTAGTTCAAAAAAAAAAAGACGAAAACGTTTCGTTGAAGATTGCATTAGTTCATTTTAATGTTTATTAGAAAAAAGAAAGGGAAAAAGGAAATGAATATTTTTTAATTTAATATAATTATTATTTTAGCTTGATGTAATTAATTTCAGATTGTTTCAATTACTAAATGACGCTTTTAAACATTTTCATTCATTCAATTTTATATGATTTATTACAATGAAATATTAGTTATGTCATATTTTGAATTAATTTCTCATAACATCAGTTGTAGTTCTTTTTTAGGTAAAAATTTCTAGAAATATTTTAGATTAGCTTTATTTCTGTGACTTCAAATTTTTCTGCAATTTTTTTTGTATGAAAAATTTGACAAACTATTTCCATTCTGATGTTTCATTTCTTTTTGGTAATAATAAAAATGCAGGAAAAGATAGTATTTCCGAAATATTTTATTTTAATGAAGTAAATACTCTTGGATGAATTCCATTAAAAATTTGCAAAGTTCCTGTTGGATGTATTAATCTAACAAAACTATCATAATATTTGAACAAATTTGCATTATTTGAAATGTTATTGTTTCATTTTTCATAATTAGTTGACATAATTAACAAATGCATCATTCTATTTAAATTGATAAGCAGGTTGCATGATCTCTAAATACTCGTTATTTTCAATTTCGTTATAATAATAATAATAATAATTAATAATAATAATAATGATAATAATAATAATAATAATAATAATAATAATAATAATAATAATAATAATAATAATAATAATAATAAT